GGCCGCCGCCCCCCATCCTCCTCGTCTGCACGCCTGCTTTGTTCCTCCGCACGCCCTCCGCTTGCTTCCATCCCCCACACACCCCCGCACCCCGCCATTCCTGTCGTACCCCACTGGCAGGCACCCGGCAGCCCATCCAGGCCTGATCCCCCCACCCTGGAAGCGAGGGACGGTTGGCATGGGGGGAGCTCTTGGCATGGGGGGGCTAGGGAGGGCTCTTGTTGGTCACAGATGGCGTGGGGATTTCCTGGGATAGAAATAGCCGCCGGCTCTGGCCCCTTAAAGCTGCTTAAGGGGCGGGATGCTAAGGGGAGGGTCCAGGCACACCCCCACACGTCCCCGACCGCGCCCCTCTCCCCCACTCAGCTGACCTCCCACCGGGAGACGCCCGCAGCTGTGAGAAAACCCCTCCAATTGTTTCTAAGGAACAGGAACACCAGAGCCCTAAATACCTATGCTGACTGGCATCCCTTCGTCCGCCCCCTCCCCCTCCTCCAGGGTCGGCCTAGAGTAGCCCTTTCTAAGGCCCATGACCGTCTTCACTTGCTTCTCCTGGCCCCGTTGCTCTGTGGTTCCCTACCACCTGGGGGTAGAGGTCACGGTCTTTCCTCCTGGGTTCTTAGCAGCAGGTGGGGCTGCCACCAGGCTGGTTTCAGATTTTTCAGAGACATTATCATGAAGGACTAACTGTTCTCTCTCTCTCCTCTAGGGGGCGGACCACAGAACCCGAGGCCATGTCCCATGAAAAGAGTTTCTTGGTGTCTGGGGACAACTATCCTCCCCCCAATCCTGGATATCCTGGGGGCCCCCAGCCACCCATGCCCCCCTATGCTCAGCCCCCCTATCCTGGGGCTCCTTACCCACAACCCTCTTTCCAGCCCTCTCCCTACAGTCAGCCAGGGTATCCTCATGGTCCCAGCCCCTACCCACAAGGTGGCTACCCTCAGGCACCCTACCCCCAAGGGGGCTACCCACAGGGCCCCTATCCCCAAGGGGTCTACCCACAGGGCCCCTACCCCCAGGAGGGCTATCCCCAGGGGCCATATCCTCAAAGCCCCTTCCCCCCTAACCCCTATGGACAACCACAGGCCTTCCAGGCACAGGACCCTGACTGTGAGTCAAAGGGAGGGACGGGACAGGGGCAGGGCAGGGGCACAGGCCTGGCTGCATGTGAGTGGGTGCTGACCCAGTTTATTTGCTCCTCAGCACCTCAGCCTGGGAACTATCAGGAGGAGGGGCCCCCATCCTACTATGACAACCAGGATTTCCCTGCCACCAACTGGGATGACAAGAACATCCGACGGGCCTTTATCCGAAAGGTGGGGCCGGGGCATCTGGGGGGCAGGGGTGGTGGTACCAGGCGGGCTCTGAGTTGCTCCCTTTCCAGGTGTTCCTGGTGCTGACCCTGCAGCTGTCGGTGACCCTGTCCACGGTGTCTGTGTTCACTTTTGTTGGGGAGGTGAAGGGCTTTGTCCGGGAGAACGTCTGGACCTACTATGTCTCCTATGCCATCTTCTTTATCTCCCTCATTGTCCTCAGCTGTTGTGGGGACTTCCGGCGAAAGCACCCCTGGAACCTCGTTGCACTGGTAATCCCCAGGCCTGAGCCTCTGGCCTCTAGGCCCAGCCTTGCAGTTCCACATGCCCACTCTGTGGGACCTGGTCACCCTGGTTCCCCTTGTGCCTGTGAGGCGGGGGAGGGCCAGAGGGGCAGCTTCACACCCCCAAGGCCAACCACGGCCCTCTGTCTCCCCATAGTCGATCCTGACTATCAGCCTGTCCTACATGGTGGGCATGATCGCCAGCTTCTACAATACTGAGGCGGTCATCATGGCTGTTGGCATCACTACGGGCGTCTGCTTCACAGTGGTCCTCTTCTCCATGCAGGTGAGGGGCCCCTCAAGGCAGGGCTGTGCCCCTGAGGGCCCAGGGACCTTCCTGGCACCCATAGTCCCTGTCCCTTCCCTGTCCCTTCAGACCCGCTATGACTTCACCTCGTGTGTGGGTGCGCTCCTGGTGAGCATGGTGGTGCTCTTCATCTTCGCCATCCTCTGCATCTTCATCCGGAACCGCATCCTGGAGATTGTGTATGCCTCTCTGGGCGCTCTGCTCTTCACCTGCGTGAGTCGGGGGAACAGCTTGCGGTGGGATAGGTGGGATGCGGGGTGAGCAGGCGTGTCCTCTAACACCAATGTGTTGTCGCCCCCAGTTCCTGGCAGTGGACACCCAGCTGCTGCTGGGGAACAAGCAGCTGTCCCTGAGCCCAGAGGAGTACGTGTTTGCTGCACTGAACCTGTACACAGATATCATCAACATCTTTCTGTATATCCTCACCATCATTGGTCGCGCCAAGGAGTAGCCCAAGCCCCAACTTGCTGTGCTCCACTTAGGTGGCATGGCTGGCCTGGACCCTGCCCCTGGCATGGCAGTGCCATCTGTACTACCCCACTCTCTTGTTCTCAGGCACAGCCTGGGACAGAGGAATCCCTTCTCTGATCCTCTTGTATGTACACTGAAGATATTTCTATTTGGACCCTCTGTGGCCACAGCATGGCCCCTTTAGTCCTCCTGCCCCCACCAAGGGGCAACAAGGCCACATTTCCGTGCCACTTCCTGTCTGTTCATTGTTGCATGAGCCCTGTCTACCAGCCCACCCCAG